GTGTATCCCAACCTGAACAACATAGCTTTCAACAATTTTTTACTTAGAAATAATGGATAGGACAATGCAACGTTTGCCAGGCCAGCTAGTTTGTATATAAATATACATACATGTACATATATCAAATTGTAAATCCCATAAATATTAAATCATATCACATTTATATTGTGGGCATTGCCTTCAAAACCCACACGATTTGTGAGCAAAAAATAAACTTATCAAAGTCCATGGTGAGTAAATAAATAAATGACGCTATGCTTATGAAATTGACGGCTCTGTGATATGGTATTGGGCTATACCATTGTGTGCGTGCTTTTCAGGTTGCCGTTGTCGAGTCGCCATCCATCATTGCCGTATTTGTTGTGGATTGGGTAGATATCGCGCAGGCTGCATAAGATATGATCTGGTCGGTGCAGCGCTGGGTCTGTTCGTCGAAGTAATCGCCATTAGGGCAGGTGCCCTCGCCAATTTTGACGCCGTCTTGACAAATGGCGTAGCCCGTGCATCCATCATCCGATTCGTTGGCCAGCTCAATGACCGTATAGCCCAGGCCGACGCATCGGTTGTACTCGCACTTGATGTTCGATCGGGGCACGCAGGCGCCGCCAGCGCGGGCCGTGAAGAAGCGACCGTCATCACAGTCGCCGTGCTGGAGCAGCATTTGCCCATCGGCACCCTCCCTACAGTAGTAGTACCCATTGCAGCTGCTGTCGTCGGAGATGAAGACGCCTGCCTTGGGGCAAGTGTCCGGCCCCGCTGTCAGTGGAGGGGGCTCTGTGATAGCGCATTCCACATTCTGGGGGTAGTCACAGTCGCCCTTTTTGGCGTTGAAGTAGAAGGTGCCCGGGCAGGTGTCACGGATCACTTCGCCCTTCCAGCACATCTCGTAGCCATTGCAATTGAGCTCGTCCTTGATGAAGACGCCATCGGGCAGAATGTTGCAATAGCTGTCGGGATCCATTTTGGCAACGCACGGAAAATCACGGATGCAGGACTCAGTGCCCGGATTGTAGTTCAGTCCGGGGTTGCAGACGCCACGCTTACCCACACCGTCTGCACAATAGTAATAGCCATTGCAAGAGTACGGATCGGGAGCGAAGCCATTCGGCTCTGCCGCGCACGGATCGCTGGAGATACACTTGATATCAGTGGACGGCACGCAATCCTCACTCTCTCTATCATAGAAGAGACCTTTGTCGCAGGTGCCGCTCACGGGTTTGCCATCTACGCACTGTATCCAGCCATTGCAGATGCGCGGATCATTCATCTTCGTGCCTTCGACGACCAAAGTGCAAAGGACTTCCGGATCAAAAGTGGCTGCCACACTTGGCACTAACGCGAGGCCAAAGCCAAGGACGAGTAGGTAAAATACACTTCTATCTGCAAAGTATATAGTTTAGATTAGAATTCTCGAAATGCCATTCAAGTAAAGAGCCTTATAAGAGAGATAGTATATTGGTCTGAGTATTCCTGAAAGAAGTACTAGAGAATGGATCATTTTATGGGTATACACAAGTCTTCCTTGATGAGCTGTAAATTAGTATATCTAATACTAAGTAAGAATCCTATCACTTATTTTGTACGTATTATATGGGCACAGTATTCCTTCCATTTTATATAAAGTTATATATTCAATTATCGAATAGTTTACGCACTCATATTTTGCGGTATGTAAAGAGACGCGGAGGAGCGACTTGACCGGGCTAAGACAACGACTAACTGAGCAGCAGACCATACGCTTATTAAATATAACTTGTCACGCCGTATGTCTGATACGGGGACATAATTTTTAGAGCATTAGAAAAGAGCTGAAAGTGTCGCAATATGTTAAAATTAAATACGTATTTTTATCAACAGACTTATTCAGTTGATAATTTGGGAAAGACCGCACGCGTTCCATAGCTAAAGCCATTTGGGAATTGTTTAAAAATACTTTAAAGACGACATCAGGCACTTAAATCATCATCCAAAACAAATCAATGATCGACTGCCTACTATCTACATACGAAATTTAGTAATGTGAGGGAGGTCTTTAAATCAATATTACATATTTGTTGTAGATTTATTTATTTATTTATTTATTTGATTATGTTTGATTAGACATATTTATTAATAAAACTGTTCATTCTTATCGTACTTTAAACACAGTGTGTGGTATGATTATATGATTATTATATTTATTTTATAGAGGAAAATGCGTGAATTATAAACTGTAGTGGGCCAATGATTTTAGTATATTTATATCTTAATAAACACAGCACATTATCGTTTTGACAAAATCAATCCATTTAAAGGCTTCCAGACGGAGGGTAATAGTGTTGAGAGCATACTTTTATGATTAATCATCCAGGAAGCCCATCAATTTAGGAGTCCGTTTTTTCAATTCTGTTCGCTTATATTTTCGAATCTTAACAACTCTTTCATTTTTCATTCCCCTTGCAATTGGGGGCTCTTTATACACTGTGCATACCGCAATTGTTGATAATATAATAAGATTATCTATATATACTTAAAAAAAAGATGCAACGCAAAATCAATCCCCAGGTCTTTTGAAGGTTGATCTTTGAGTTCCATCTTTAATCCTACTTCTAAGCTCTTTCTTCAGAGCGGCAGCAGTCAGTGACCACACTCGAGCTACACAGTCAGAACGCGTAATCTTGTATTGATCATCGCAGGCTCAGTCTTTCGATTTTTCGTCTTTGGTAGCGTACAATCTGTGACTCTACTTGAAAGCTACGTACGGAAAATGCTGATGTCAAGGCATGCTGAGATCTCGGTCTGATCAGAGGATACAATCTATGCAGCCTACACTGCGTATAACTGCAAAGTGAACCTGAAACTTCACTCAACAAGTAGGTAGAATAGGCAGTTGCCTGGCCGATTCTGCTCTTTTATAAGACTTCCCGCTGCTGCCTAAGAGTATACTACATGTTCGACCCTTGAGGATGATTCATTCCTATGAAATTTGCGTCTCTTGTTATTCAGTGTTTCTTTTTTTTTTTATCGCATATTTAACCTCTGGCGCGACAAGTGCTCAAAAATAGGTTTTCATGTTCCAATTAGTGTACGCATAGTACTCTTTAATGGCTGCACCCAGCGGACGCTGGGTGTGGAAACCCGGCCTTATATAAGGCTCGAGCACGAGGTAATCGTCAATTGCTTTTCTCAAAGTGTGTAAAATCAATAACAACTCATCGCAAAGAGCGTCGCATGGAAATACGCGTGCATTTTGCATTGCTTGTGGGCATCTGTCTCGGGGTGTCCCAAGCCGCTGAGCAGCCGATTCACCAGGAAATCGCAGATCTGAGCCATGTAAGTGCCGGAGCTGCGTTCAAGGGAATGGCTGACTTATCGATGGGGTTGATTCCAGATTTGTGAGGGACGTGCGGATGGTCATTTGGTGGCCCACCCGTTGGATTGTAATGCGTACTTTGCCTGCCACAAGGTGACCACGCTATTCTACTGCGACCAGGGCCTACATTTCAACCCGATTGAATCTGTCTGCGATTTGCCGGAAAAGGTAAATTGCACTCCAGCGGATGGCATTGCCAGCGTCACTACCTCCACGCCCAGTGGACTGGCGAATGTCGACTACAATTGGTGGCTGGGCCGGCCTCAGCCGGTCTTTGTGGCCGTCGATGTGGCAACCGGTCTGGCCGTGAGCCCCATGGAGCGCTACGACCCGGAGCACATCGAGTGCCGACACTTTGGCGCCTACTTTCTGCCCCACCCCACCAGTTGCCAGCTGTACTTCATTTGTGCCTACGGTCATCTGCACCGGCACCAGTGCGGCCGTGGCACGCACTGGAACTACAGGAGCTCCGAGTGCCAGCTGAGTAGCGTCGCTGAGTGCTATGCCAACAGCCGTAATCCAGCTCTGGCTTCTACTCAGGAACCAACCTCCACGCCTGGCCAAGTCACAGTGTGCTACATTGTAAACATCAGCAGCAGCAGCAGCAGCAGCAGCAGCAGCAGCAGCAGCAGCAGCAGCAGTAGCAGCAGCAGTAGCAGCAGCAGTAGCAGTACTTTCCCTAGCTTGCCCAGTTTGCCCAGTGAACGGGAGCCGACAACGATTGCCGTCGCACCAACCCCGCCAAGTGTGGCACACAGCGCCTTGAAGTGCCCCTCGGAGCGACAGAGCTATCTGCCGCATCCCGATGACTGTGGCAAGTACTACATTTGCATTGCGGGCATGCCGGTGCTCACCTCCTGTCCGAAGGGCCTCTACTGGGACCAGAGGGCTGGCTATTGTGACCAGGCCAAGAATGTCAAGTGCTTTCAGAACTAGCAAATAAATGCGCCCAAGAGCTATAAGCGTCCGTCTTGACTATTGATCGTAGTCTACCTTAGGGAACAGTCCAGTACTTGACAGCAGTCTCATACATTCGATGCTTCCGCCACCTAATAAAATGAATCATCCATTCGATTATACTTTATTTGAAGCCCTTTTGATTCAAATTACTTTCGCTTATATCAATAATTGGCTAATGCAGTGCAGTTTACTCAGCTGCATTTCCTACAAAATCCTTGCCAGAGTCAGCCGCTGCCATATCTCGCGTCGCTTTTGTATAGTCTCCGGAGTCTCCACCTCTGGCTGCGCCTGCTGCCACTGAAAATCCGAGAAGCTGGCCTTGACACGCTGCCAAAACGTCACGGAACTGTTCTCAGGATGCGATTCACTCCCAAATCCCACCGCAATGCCAACTCCACAAAGCCAGAGCAGCAGCGCACACGTAAGGCGAGGACTGAAGGATTTCGACACACTCATTCTTGTCGCTGGATTTGTACTGACAGATGAATGCAGCGCGTTGTGGATTTCTTGTTTATCAAGCCAGCTATCATATCAAATAAATACATAAATCGTATCCAAGTCAAGCTGCTTATCAAATGGCAATTGCTTTACAACGGATGATAAGCTATCTTAACATCAACTCTTACAGACGAGACAACTTTTTTGTTAACTATAATGAAATAGACTTGGATAAATATATATATAATAGCTACGGTTACCTCGTCTCCCTAAGAACCATCCGTCTCAGAGTTATTGAGCGAATGAGAATGTAGGTTCAAGGTTCCGTACTTAAGATTTACAAATTTCTTAAGCAAACTCAAGTGCTCAACTGCTTTGAGAATTGTCAAGCAGCTGGACAACGTTGCTTATTAAACCATTAAAAGATTCCAAAACAGCTGCTCACCAGAGGAGCAAGCCCTCTCTCGTTGCGGCCCCCAGCTTTGATAAATGATGTCCTCCGCGTGCTTTATCGCATGTCCTTCACTCGGCTAGCCAGTGCAATTATTTATATTCATAAAGTCAACATTTCATTTCAATTTGAGAACACAGTAAGAGTGCGCGAGTCGGCAGTGCCTGACTAGCAAATGCCCTAACTGATGGAGACTCTTGCAAGAGATTAGATCTGATTCTTGCAAGAGATTAGATCTGAATGCAGACCGTCAGATAGGAGCTGTTGATGCTGACAATGAAACACACACACTTTATGATACTCGGCCACGCCTCCTCGTCTGCGAGTTGCACACATTTTGAACAAACACTGAACTCCAATTAACAATTAGGTCAGAGCACAAATTTCAAACGGATCAAATCAACTGCGCACTATATACATACATATGTATACCGGCCTGATAATTATATAACACATTTCATTTTACATGAATAGCAATCTGTTATTATCTGTAATATTGCAAGACATGTAAGAAAACTCTGCACGGCAATGCCCGACTTGAAAATACCCTGCATACCTTTGTAAGATGAATTTTTTTGATCTTGTTGGTTGTCATTTTTATCATTTTATCATTATGATAAGAAAAAACTGAACTCATAAATGCATAAGGCAGTCTTCTAGTGTTGCACAATTTTTGAAGGGAGCAAGAGAGAGTTGCTTTGACCAATGCATTAGCAGAGAGGCAAACCGAATTTAATTAATTAAGTACGAGAACAAGAATGAAGTCTGCCCAAGAGACTAGCACGATTACATCGACTCTTACATCAGCTCAAGAATAGATGTATATGCTCTATGGGTTAGGCCAAGTCAACCAAGATATTTCCTGTAAAGTGTCCAGGGCTAATCTGAATATATTTGGAGATCAATATTGCAGAATTGCTAGCCCATCCAAGAAGAAATAAATTATAACGGAATCAAATGATTACAAAAAAAGGAAAAATTTTGCTTTGTTGTTGTTTAATTGATAAATTCTTTAACATTTTATACATATGTATGTAAATATTACTAATTTACTGGTGTAAATAAAGCTATTTTGTATTACGCTCTTTACTATGATTAGTTATTGTATTTTGTAATGAATACATACGTATGTAAATATAGTAGAGTGTGTGTGTGTAAGTTTATGTATGGGTAGGTCGATTGCGTCTTGGATGCATCTTTTGCAAAAAGCATTCAAGCTTGAGAACTGCTTGATAATATTTATAGAATCCAACCAAATAATTATATATGGATTGAAATGCCCACTACATATGTATTTGTGTGTGTATGTATCGCAATTTTAGACTGCGAGCTTGCCATGATATTTGACTATATAATATAATAGAATGTACTATTTTAAAACACATTTTCAATTGCACACTAAATAATACTGTGGGAATAGCTTTTTGTGTACCACATAAATATATATCTATACATATTTATATATCAAATTAAAATATATATTTAAAATACAATTGAATTGTTTATTAAATATTATAATATTTCAGGTGTGTTCTTTTTGATTAGTAACTATGTATAGGTATGTATATATATATTAATGGTTATATTTGTGGGTGTGTGTATACATTTTTCGTTATATTTATACAAGTAAAAGTGGTTCCTTGTTCTATTTTGTGTACAATTGTTAAGTACAGTTTCATGTTCAGAAACATTGATTTAGGCATAAACTATTGTTTGTTGATAGCTCCAATAATATCTTAAGTATTATATATATTCTAAGTCTGTAATACCGCATATAAATATATAGATTTACGCATGTATGTATATACTAGATGCCCGATTTAGTTCAGATTTTGCGGAATCATTTTGAATGGCAGGAAGAACGTTTATCATTCCTTAGGCACTACATATTCTATTCCAAGCAATTCTCTGGTACAAATACAAACAAAGAAAAAAGTAGACCATTATTATTATTAACATTATCAAAACTAGAGTGTGTTAAAACCTTCATGAAGTTCATTTTTGTACATTCTCTTTTTTTGATGTTAAATTTGTATATAAGTTATCACATATTTTTGTGTCCAAAAGATATTGAAACTTATTTCAAATCGTTGTTTAAAATCGCTGTACTAAATTGCAGGCAAATGAAAAAGCATAACGAACATCCCACTCGATGTCAAGATAACGGAAATAATATAGTAGGATCTGTCATACGTAATTCTAATATTTGATATTTCAACAATAGTAAATAGATATTTTCTTTGAGCGCGCTCTGCTTTAAGTACGTTCTACATTGCCTATAGAGAGCCAACTCCTCAGAAAATCTATTATAAAAGATATGCCAAAACTCACTTCTCATCAGGACAAACTAACCGGATTACATTCAAGAAAGAAAGAAACGAAATGGCAAACTGATTAGAGACATAATTTTATATACTACATAGTTATTTACTGTTGATAGATGAAATCAGAAAACGAATAGAAAAGCTCATGTATAGGGCGAAAAACTAATAATAGAGTATATTTTCGTTAACTTTATCAACAGGTTGTAAGAAATTATAGAACAGAAGGGGCCAAATGAATATCTACTTTAAATCATGGATACTAACTTTAACTATATGTTTCTACAGTTGCTTAAATGTTCTTGTAAATATTTATAAACATGCTTACATACATATTTGTGTGTTTACTTATTGATTAAAAATAGTTTTTACTAGCATTTCATAATTATTTCTTTTCCATGGAAGAATGTAATCGTATAACTGTTTAATATGATTAGAGTATATGCATATGCCGACTTAAGTATGGATAGACAATGGGAATGGGTAGTATAGCACTTAGATGGAATGTTGATTATATCGTATCGTATTTGGACCCAAAGGTGCAGTATTAGCGATTATGTACATTGACCGACTCTATTCAAGGAATCGCCGATAATACGGAGTACTCCTTCTCTTGCTGACTTCCTTGACGTAAGTTTAAGCTAATCTCTCAATCAATAAGTTGCCTGTTGGCCAAGTGCCTGCATTAGACGTCCGTTTCATTGCTTAAGTTCCGCTGGAGGTCCAAGTTGCTCTGATTGGTCGTTTGCAGGGGTAGCTGGTGCGATATTTGCTTCTGCAGGAGCCTGGGATCAACGTTGCAGGCGTTGGTAGTGCTAGGTGAATTTTGCTGCGATCGCGGGCTGGGCGGCGTGGGCGTGGCTGGTATCTGATGCCAATTAATACTGTTCTGCGATGTGATGTTGCGGGTCTTCAGCAGTGGTGGGTTCTTCGTGGACGTGGAGAATGCCATGCCCCGTTTCAGCGGCACTCTAGAGACACGAACGAACAGGTACGCATTTAGGTGGTGGAATGCATTAGGATTCAAGTTGATGGACCGTTCGTGACGTAACACATGTTGATGATGCGAGAGACATGCCATGTCATGAGACATCATGAGAATATGCAATGCAACATATATGCGAATATAGAGAATTGACACAGAGATATTAAACGACAATGATGCTATGTACATATGTATAGTTATATTTATTTCAGTTGCTCCCATCTTCTGTTCGGACTCACCTAGTTGGACTCGGCGGTGGATAGGAAATGCCGCGATGACTGGGCGACAACAATAAGTTACCCGAGTGACTAGTCGTTGTGCCCGGCACAAGCAATGTATTGTTACTATAAGTATGTTAAATTTCACTTTAGAACCGATCAGACCATTAATTCGCTGGACTACATTGAACTGAAGCATTGAACGAACCAAAACGCAATTCATTTGCAGCTACGTTTTCAGTGGATCAACAGAGATCTAGAGATACCAAAGCGCGTGCATTTACAGAAAGCTCGCATTTAGAAATAAACTCGCGAATAAAATAATATTTACTAAAGTATATGAATCATAAGAGAATGGTTCAAATTACATGATGTACCATTTCTACATCGGTACATAAATATACGAGTCTCAATAAAAATATAAACTATTATTTGTATTTATTAATTTTTATTTTTAATTATTCATTTTTCTATGTATATAAATGTCTCAATGTAAATATAATTGGATAGATCAATAACGAAATGCTAATATATAAAATAAAAAACAGGAGATACCACTTCGGTACCTACTTTGGTACATTTGTGGAAACCACTCTAAATACTAAACTTATTTAAGCTAAGCTCTCTATTTCAGTAGTTTTCAATTGCTCTCCGTACTCCTAGGAAATTAAAATGCAGATCACAAATGCGAAAAATAAGAGAAATGTTGATTATGATGAGATCGCAGGCAAATTAGAAGTTGAGGGAAAAAGCGTTGTTGGTGTTGGCTTCGATGAAAGACACGAGTTAAACTTGACTTTACATTATATGTATAATAGAATATATAATATATTTATTTTAAAATTGTATGCATTACAAATAAAAAAATATATTCTAAATTAGACAAGCTATGTGTATATATATAAATACGTTTTTTCGTGGTTTTTGTTGATTTAGTTTTGTGTTTTTTGTTGTATGTGTATAACATTAACATTAACGACGTATACGGACGGTCTTAAGGACTTAAACAAATGACTGGAAAATGCTAATCAGAATCAGATGAGTAGTGAATACTTGTGTATGCGATTGCTTGCT